CAGGCTAAACAATACTCAGCAGAGAAATGTGGTTAGAGTGGGTGTTATATAGTGAATGAGGTAATTAGAAACAGCTGTGTGCAATGAGTGCAATCAGGGCAGTGTGCAAATTGTGCAAAGAATGATGGGAAATGTAGTCCGGGGTGCTATGCTACAGTTTGTGTAGTGCGAGAGTCAATGAAATGGAAAGGGTGACCTCTGGTGGTGAATAAACAGAAGTCCATGGACTGAATTTGTGACAGAAATAAACCCAGTTACTTTTACTCAGTTACTACCCAGTGACATTACTATCTGTACAGCACTGTTTAGATGTAACTGAGTTCTGCAAATTCCATAACCCGGACAAGCCCCCAATAACGGTACGATTATAGGTGTATGTAGTGCAACATTAAACACCTGAGATTTATTTAAGTGCTGGTTTTTTCAAGTATTAGTAATCATTTATTCACCTCCAAAGGTTTCATGTGCCCTTGATCAGGGCAGTTAGGTTCGAATCACATTTCCGGCAATAGGTCTGAGGAGGGTATTTAATCTGTCCACGGGGGGTCAGATCAGTGAGATCCAGTCAGGGTTTACAGTGACAGCCCGTGGAGGAGGCAGCATTGTTCTGCCTGTTTGAATATCGCCTGGAGCTGCTATCACTTAAACTTAAACATCATCCGATTATTAGGCTTATGGTTGTTTGAGCTTATTGCTTTGTGTCAGGTGAGCAGAGGATTTAGACTCTAGAGACCTTAGAATATCAGGGATTTTTATTTTCATGCTTTAGTTGCTTAAACATAGGCTTGTCTGATTAGAGTTGATTATAAATTGTCTTTAGGCTGCAGAGGAAATGAGAAAACATGTTTCCTGGACTGGCAAAATCTAAATAAAATTATTTAATTAGAAAAAAAGAAAGAAAAAAACGTATGACCTCTGTTTAATATAATGTTTTATTTTAATATATTTAATATTATTTAATATGTTTATTTTTATAATAATTTATGTATTTATTTATGCTTTATAATAAAAACCAAATTTTTGGTTCTTTTATTTTTAAATGTATTGTTATATATATTTTTTTATTATTATTATTGTTTTTATTTTTTATTTATTATCATTTGCCTTTTTTTATAATTTCCTTTTTCTGTATATACCATAGTGGTTTGTTTAATTTATACAGTGTTTCACTTTTGTCTCCGTCTTAGTCTTGATGTTGTGGGGAGGGTCTATTGTTGAATGGCAACAACTGTGATTGACAGCACTGTTTTCTTGAGAGAGGCGTATAATAATAACGCTATCATATGGTCTGGCAGATTTTGGGCTCGGCACCAGGAATGACAAATGTGCTCACGCAATAATTCAATCTGCTCTCCCAGTTCTTCCACTTTAAGGGGACTTGCGAAGATGAGTAGTTGAAGCAATTAAGTTGGTCAGTCATTGTTAATGTGTAGCACACAAAATATGTGCCAGGTTGTTTATGGAGAAGTGTTTTTCATAAAAAAGAGAGAGAGGGAAAGTAAAGAAAACTTCGCAGACAGATTGTGATTTGGTGAATGTGTGAGAATGGAAGGTGGTCTGAGAATATCAGTAACTAATTAAAGTTTTCTTCTGTACGTCACTTGCTAAAGACGCTGGGTTCTCAAGAATAGTTAAAGTAACTGATGTTTCTGAAGGAAATAGCTGGAGGAAAGTGAAACTTGATGATGAGAACAAAAAGCAAAATACATGCAATGTAATTATTTTTGAATGCATATATAATATTACAATTCTTTCAAGGATGTAACCAAACTTCAAGAATCAATTTAGAATTTATTATGTTATGTTATGTCATGTCATGTTATGTTATATTATCGATAATCTATTGAAATTAATATTGTCTTTTTGTGGTAGTTGTTCATATTATATTATATTATATTATCGATCATCTATTGAAATGAATATTGTCTTTTTGTGTTAGTTGTTCTTATATTATATTATATTATAATGTTACATTTTTGTATAATGGTGCTAAACTGTATGATTTACTGTATTCATGTTTTTGTCTGTTTTTTTCACATAATTTAAAATAAATTAATTTATTTGTTTATTTATTTATTTATTTTAGAATGATTCATTTGTAATTACTTAGTGGTAATTTGCCATGTACTAAGCAGTATTATAATTAGCTGTCACAAGATAAACTTCTTTCTTTCTTTCTTTTTAGGAGAAGAAATACACTCTATTAATGGTGGATCCAGACGCTCCTAGTCGTCAGAAACCCTCTCGCTCTTACTGGAGACACTGGTTACTGGTTGACATTAAGGTTACGTCACATCTCCCAAAAAGGTCTTTGAAATGCAGATGCTGTCTCCACCTAATTTGAAGTTTTACAAACTTGTTATAACCTCTGTGACTTCATGAATGTTCTTCTATGATATAATGAATCTTCAAGCCTATTAATACAAGTCAATGTATTTCATCTGAATATTACCAAGAACAAAGCCTTAAAATAAAGGTTGCTTAAAGCAGCGCTTTGGCACGGACAATCCTGGACATAATGTGCAAAGCAAAAGGTGTCAGAAACACTTTGGTGGGCAAACAATTCCTGGATCGCGTGGACCGTATCTGCACCTTCCATGTGCTTCACACTTGTGCTGCGTTTCCGATGAGTTACATAATTACTGAGTAAAAATATCATGTTAGTCATCAGCGCTCCGCTCCGGCGGGATCTAGAGGCAGATTCATCAGGCTGTGCATGGGGACGCCGTGTTTAAACAACCGGGGATGAGACACACTTTAATTGCTCAATATTAAGTCAATATTAGTTCATCCTTTCTTAATCTCGCAGGCTATTTTTTTGCATGCAATTTCTTTCTCAGTTTTTCTTGCTGTGGTCCTATTGGTTCACAGGGGAGCCCAATGATTCCAATAACGTTTGTAACTACATCTCAGAAATATATGAAAAAGGACTGATGTCTCATACACAAGTTACAAAAAAACATTGTTTGTAAGAATGACTTTCTTTTCTTGACATTCAGGTTTTTTTGTTTGTAAGTTTTTGTGGCAATCGTGTGGGCGAATGGTTCTCCTGTGTGACGGGAATGATTGCACGTCAGTTCTCCTTCAGACAAGGGAACTAAAGACAGGAATGCAACAGGCTTACTACAACTAGTGCCCTCTTTTTTATTAATTTATTTATTACACCTGGTTTTACTGGAAAACTCACATAAAGGTTCCACAAAAAGATGTCTTGATATGACTGCATGTATCCAAATATGACATGGCAAGATATGTCATGCAAGGTTGGACATAATAACTAATGGTTTTGATCAGTGTTATTATTGTATTATGTAAATGCTCTTATAATATTTATTCATATTTTGAATGAACTTTTTCAGTCACTTAGCTTTATTTTTTTGTAATTTTGTTATGTGTTAGTCATTTTTGTTCCTGTTTTAAATGTCCACTTGCTTTTCTGCCATTTAGTTTTTATTTTTATATATTAAGTTTATGTTTTAATTTTAGTTTATGTTTTAGTAATTTTGTTATAAGCTTTTTAATTTCTATTTACGATGCTGTCGTTTTTATTTCCATATGAAATGTTCACTTCCTCGGCAGTCACTTTATTTTTACAAGTTTATATTTTAATTTTAGCTCAAATTTGAGTAATTTTGTTACATACTTCTGTGATTTTAGTACTTGTTTCATTTCAGGTAGCTGCCAAGTTTTTTAAGTTACTATTTTCCAACTAATATTAACATTTATTTTGGATTTCATTCAATTAATGAACAATATTTTAACAGTTTCCGTTTTAGTTGACAATAACCATGCTGATTTTAGGTGACAAATGTGATATCACACACGAGTTGTCGATGTATTTGAGCACTAAGGACTACTTTTTAAAGTAGTTAAATTTTTAAAGCCCCAGTCCCCATTCATTTTCATTGTATGGAAAAGAGCAGCTTGAACATTCTGCCTGATATCTCTTTCCATCAAGTTTGAAATGACCTAACGCTGTGTAAATGATAACAGAATTCAAATTTTTGGGTGGACTGTCCTTTTATTTGTACCATTTTAGTGTGGTTTCGTGACAGGATATCTATAAAATACCACGAAGGATGATCTTACAGCTACAAAAAGCAACACTCCGTCATTCACCTTTTCTGCAGGCGTTTTACTCGTAAATCTCCATACAAATACATTTGCTAAAAGCAGCATATGATCACTGTCCCTGGAAGCGAGTCCGTCTTCAGCACTAGTTCAGCCCTGCCCTCCTCTCCATCTCACAGAGAAGAGACGAGCCTCCTCCCAGTCTGGCCAGGCGACACATTGTGAATAAACAAATGTATTTCAGGTGCTCAGACAGACAACCTCTCAGTACCCTGTCACTGTGTGGGCGGCGGCATGCCGCCTGTCTGCTCCCTGATTGGCCGTCTCATTGTGCTGTGTGTATGATGAGGAGCCGTGGTTGGTCAGAGGTTTAATGAGGCTGGTGGGAGGTGAGTAATTGCCGCGGTGACTTCCTCTAACCTCGCTGAAGTTATAATAACATCCCGTGTGAATGTGTGGAATTATCTGTCCTGGAATACTCCTGGGCTTCAGACTGAAGCAGGTGCCACACAAATGAACAATTCCCCTCTCACTCCAACACCATATTTAGAAATCTGCCCTGTAATTCCTTTTTTTAGAAATTAAATTACAACCCTGATTTGACTTGTTTACTCCCCCATACAAGCAAACGTAATGTCTTTTGCGTATTGCATGCAAACACAATAGCAAAAGATGTTTTTCATTTTCACCCTTCCATCCAAACTCATGTCAGAGAGCACATCTTATCTCAGTTTTGGTTTCCATGCTAACCTGGCTTTGACTCATGGGATGTCTAAACATCATATCTCTCTTAGTTTTTATGAGAAACTAAAAAATGGAGGTGCATTAAAAGCAAAAAAAAATCTCATTATCTGCCGTGCACCTATAATGAACTTCAGTGTGTAATTTAACTTAGTTATACCTGTATAGATTTTGCTGCTATTGTCTTTAGTGATATACAATCTGTTTTTCTGTGTTTACTGAAAAATGGCACAGGTAACATAGATTTACTGAAAACTGTGTTTAAATTAAACCTCTGCTGCAACTTGAGGAGATATTTCTTGGAATATGTCAAATAGATCTGACTAAAGTTTTTCTTATCAGTGCTTCATATTCAATACCTTATTTCAGTGCTTCCTGTTTATGTCCTCTTCCAGAACTCTAGATTAACATTTACACTTATGAATTTGTTTACTCCCCCATACAAGCAAACGTAATGTCTTTTGCGTATTGCATGCAAACACAATAGCAAAAGATGTTTTTCATTTTCACCCTTCCATCCAAACTCATGTCAGAGAGCACATCTTATCTCAGTTTTGGTTTCCATGCTAACCTGGCTTTGACTCATGGGATGTCTAAACATCATATCTCTCTTAGTTTTTATGAGAAACTAAAAAATGGAGGTGCATTAAAAGCAAAAAAAAATCTCATTATCTGCCGTGCACCTATAATGAACTTCAGTGTGTAATTTAACTTAGTTATACCTGTATAGATTTTGCTGCTATTGTCTTTAGTGATATACAATCTGTTTTTCTGTGTTTACTGAAAAATGGCACAGGTAACATAGATTTACTGAAAACTGTGTTTAAATTAAACCTCTGCTGCAACTTGAGGAGATATTTCTTGGAATATGTCAAATAGATGTATAGAATATGTCAAATAGATCAGTGCTTCATATTCAATACCTTATTTCAGTGCTTCCTGTTTATGTCCTCTTCCAGAACTCTAGATTAACATTTACACTTATGAATTCAGCAGAGACTTTTATTCAAAAGTGAAAATTTGTCATTGAGCCAACAATATACAATACCAGAAATCTTCTAGAAATCTACAGTGGGTAGAGCAAAGAATCACCTCCCTTTAAAATAATCACATTTTGCGGAAATGGAGACAGACACAGTTTTTGTTTTATCCAGCTGTATTTACTTCTAACATCCAAGTGAAAGGTATAACACCAACATGTCAGAAAAAAAATAAAACAAATAAAAACAGAATCACTGAGTTGGAAAAAGGATCGCCCCCTTGTGTCAGTATTTTGTTGAACCACCTTCTGCTTTAATTACAGCCTTTAGTCTGTTGGGATTTGTCTCTGTCTCTTCTAACTTTGCATGTCTAGACTTTGCAATATTTGCCCACTCTTCTTTGCAGAACTGCTTAAGTTATTTGATGGTGAGTGTTTGTGGACTGCAGGCTTCAAATCATTCCACAGATATTCAGTGGGGTTTAAGTCTGAGCTCTGACTAGATCATGCAAGGACATTCACCTTTTTCTCCTTCAACCACTGTGTGCTCAGTTTTGCTGTGCTTTGGGTCATTGTCATGTTGGAAGGTAATCCTTCTTCCCAGTGACAACTTTCTGGCAGAGGGCAGCAGATTTTCCTCAAGAATTTGACTGTATTTTGCCTCATCCATGTTTCCTTCTATCCTGACGAGTGCTCCAGTCCCTGCTGCAGAGAAACAGCCCATAACAGGATATCACCACCTCCATGCTTTACTGGAGGAATGCTGTTATTTGGATGTTGAGCCGTGTCGGATTTCCGTCAGACATATCGTTTGGTGTTAATTAATTCAAATAATTCAATTTTAGTCTCATCTGCCTCAGAATCTTCAAGGTGCGTTTTGGCAACGTTTAGTCTGACTGCATGTGGCCTTTCTTGAGGAGTGTTTTTTTTTCTTGCAACCCTCCCATACAAGCCACATTTGTGGAGGATTTTTGATATTGTTGTCACATGCAAACAATGACCACTCTTCATCATAAATTCCTGCGACTGCTTCAGAGTTGCTGTCTGCCTCTCTGACCAGTTTCCTCCGACTCTTTCATCCAGTTTGGAGCGAAGTCCTGATCCAGGGAGGCTCTGTGTTGTACCAAATACCTTCCACTTCTTAATAATAGATTTCACTGTGCCTCTAGGCATTGCTAAAGCCTTTGAAAGGTTTTTATCTCCATCTCTTGACTGGTGCCTGTCCGCAGCTTTATCCCGGAGATCTTTTGGCAGTGCCATAGTGGATTGTTTGCTTCAGTTGCACTACCAAGAACTGAAATACTCCAGGAAAACTCTTTTCATGCTGAGCTAATCAAAATGAGCACAGCTGATCACAGTTGAAAATCAAATGGCTTTGTGTGCCATTGAGAAGGTGATTAGCTACACCTGATTGAGTTTACAAGTAATTTTTAGGAGGGGGTGATCCTTTTTCCAACTCAGGCCCTGTCCACACGAACGTGGTTATGTTTAAA